AATCTGACGGCACCTCGGTTCAACTTTTTTTCTCGTATTTTGTTCAATTTTTGGGATGAAATTTCTCGTTAATCAGAAGAATTAGAAAAAATCTGATATTATGGGAATATTCCTTAGACTGTATCATACTAATGTGCTGAATATGTGCACTTATTTCAAAAACACCTTGTATATATATACGAGAGAAACTATTAACAGCTCCCTCAATGTATATCCTGGGAAGCATTTTGCTGGGAGTAATTTACAGGTGCACGGAAAAAAAGGATTTGTTGAATCAAGCAAAATTTAATTGAATGGAGCAAATAAAAGTGTCATATATGCACGACAAAATATAATCTTGAAATGAGTAAATCTATATCTTGTTTCAGAGCGAATTTGAAGTTTGAATTGAGTGAATATGTCTTGCATGAACTATGGATTTTCTTCAATCAAGCACATCCATGAATTGTTTATGAAGAGATATTGAATTGGCTCAAACAAACATTTTGTTTGATTCAAAATAACAAGACATTGATTCAATCAAATATTTAGTTGATTCAACGAAATATTTGGTTGATTCGAAGAAATATTCGGTTGATTCAATGAAATATTTGGTTGATTCAATGAAATATTTGGTTAATTCAATGAAATATTCCGTTGATTCAAGAGACACTATATATCCATTCGACAAATTGTTTTGTTGAACCAAATTCAATATTCGGGAATTTTCGGAAATTTCACAATAATAGAATGAACAAAACTAGGAAACTAGTCGACTCCTAGCATAGATCTTTAGTCTTCACTTCTCTTTAGCTGATGGAAAACTATTTCGGATTGCTAATCATCCTAAGTTTGATTTATCCAGCTGATATTTCAAACACGAAGAATCATGCTTCACGTATATAATGAGGTCGAGGCAGGCATAGACAAGGCGAAATGATCGCCATCTAGAGGCGAAAATTTAAGTTGATGTAGGATGACCAAAATATTTCATTGATATTACATATTTCGTTGCTCTATTCAAGCAAATGTTCCTTTCGAAACGAGTTCATTGATACATCGGAATAAGAAAACTTGTATGTTGTTTCAAAGTTATATTCTCATCAAAATGATCATTGTTTGATCAAATCAACGAAATTTTTATATTTGAATCAACATCGGAATTATTTTGGATCGGCATAATTTGTTTTTGAAGAATCCATGTATTTTGTTGATGGAATTGATATTATACTGTTGATTCAATTAGACTACATTCTTGATTTGAACAAGCTGCTTCCATGGAATAATCATGTATCTGGTTGATTCAACAAAAAATTGCTCAGTCCAACAAAAATAACTCAAGCATAAATGATTTGTTGATGCAACAAATCCTTTTTTTCCGTGTGATGCTACAAACAAATTCGGGTGTTAACAATTACAATACAAGACACTCAGAATTCCAAAACACAATACTTCCAAATTCCAAAATTCTTCATCATTCAATGCGACCATTCTCTGCCGTTTTCAATAAAACAAATCATTTTGGACAGAAAATTCAATGGTACTGTAAAAAAACTGCTTCTGAAGTGCTCTTTGCCCCGTGTTTGGACGGTTAGTGATTCGATAGTTTTTCGATATATCTATAACTATTTCTCTTCTTCAAACAAAGTATCACTGACCATCGATAATATTTTCTTCTAGACTCCCTGACATTAAAATTTCCAAACGCAAAAACATAAAAGCGTCAACGATATTGAAACCCGGAGAAAAGCTGATATCTGTACATAAAAAGCAGTAATCCCACTACTTCAGTAGGTAAAGACTAAACAAACGAATGAAAATACTGCTTCTCAACTGTACCCTTTCTGTGTTCTGTACCAAACCACTGAGGAGACAGATACATGAAGGCATGTTTTTTTTAACTCTTGGAGCGCCCGAAAGGAGGTCGCTATTATTTTTTTTAGATATATGACAAATTGATATTCATCATACATGACGTGGAAAGAGATTCTGAATTAAGAAAATCTAATCACGAATCTGCGATTGAAGGTTCTTTCTCGGTTTATTCAACAGAAAACAACTTCTTTACGCCAATGACTGGTATTGCTAGTGATGGAATGATAGCAGAAGTTTTTGAAAAACATTTCCCATGGGAGTATCTATATAAAAGTGAAAGGTCGCCGACTTTCCTATGCGGTGTTCCAAGGATGTCATGTAAACAGAAACAGTGAGTCCGGCATCGCGAACCAGGTAGGCGTGTACTTCTTCATTTCATATTGCATCGTTTTGCACCAGTCGAACCGCCAATTTTTTTGAATAATAACGTATATTCTAACTCAAAATGACCCGAAACTGAACCTGCATCCCATTGATCTGCCCCTGCGAAATATATTCATTATAAATTCAAGATGTTGAAAGTTGACAATGAGAATTAATTTGCAAGTTGGTTCAACCATGACCTCAGCGACACTTTGAGTACCTATAAGAATTAGGAAACAGAGACCGGTTTCAGCAAAATGACCATCATCAATCAAAAACACCGGAAAGTGCATACATTTTTTTAAAGAATATGAAGTTGATTATTGTCAGTGATAAGCACACTAGTATACTGGTATACTGCACATGTGCAGTGGACTGTAAGAGATCGTATAAGACGATCAAAATTCAGCTCGCTTTTGCCCATCTCTAATCTTGTTATAAATGCACGAACTCTAATTGAACTCCACGTGTGTTACAGGTGGCACAATGGACAGTAGCGGAGACTATGAAACCGAAGAGGATTCTGCTCCAGAGGCGTGCGTTTCTCCTGGGGATGGACAGACACCTATGAGGTGAGATTCTTGCTATACAGGACTCATTCGAAAAATTGGCATGATGCCAATGAAAAAAAATCTACGGACCGATCGATATATCTGCTGAAATCAAATCTATAATTATTATCATTTTAATATCCATTATATATTCTTTACTGCACTCCTAGAATATAAGTTGTATCAAAATGAGATTTGGTATATTCTACATTTTCTGATCACTCCCGGTTTCACTGAAAATTGCTCCGGTTTTGAATTTTTAAATTACGCCTGCTTCATTTTTTTAAATCACTTTTATTATTGCATCTTTAGGATGTATATAACACTATATGTGGGTTCATGTACACCTATTTTGAATTTGTTGTATTTTCTGAGGGGAATTTGTGGAAACTTGTGGCAGAACCGAACACAGTGGTTGTTGTTGGTCGTATTTATATTAACAACGAAAGTATATGAATTGGTGGTTATCTATTGAGTTTCAGGATGCGGCTGGATGAGAGTTCAGGTGTGCGAACAGAGAACGAACGACTGAGGATGTCATTTAGTCGATGTATGATTGACCGTATCGAGAAAGAAATGAGATTGAGCAACTGTCGCATGGTGAGCACTGAGTACAAGCGACGGACGCAAATGGCCGTGTTATTGAATGTTCGTGTCACGTGTCAAATTGCTATGGATTAGAATGACCGTCTCACGGAGGCACAATAAGTCAATGATTGGTTCAAATAAATGTGGATTTGATTGCTCGTATCACGAACGCGAGTGCCTTGTGTGTTAGTGCTGGGGCGAATGTTGGAAAATGAACTTAACTGATTGATAGCCAGATGTAATGTTTGACGTCGCGAGAATAACTGAACTATATGTCGATAGATAAAACGAACCGAACTGATGTGTTCAGTGGATGATGGATAAGAACAATTTTAGAACAATTTTTAGTGTAAAGGGCTGAACCGGGTCTCACGAATAAACATGTAGAAACGACGACTAGAACTGAAAAACCGTAGTGTCTCTTGCGAGTTATCGTTACCAACTGATTTGACCAAAGAAACTATATGTCTATAGATAAAACGAACCGAACTGTGTTCAGTATAAAGGGCTGAACCGTTGTATCACGAATAAACATGTAGGAATTACGACTAGAACTGATTAAACCGTAGTGTCTCTTGCGAGTTATCGTTACCAACTGATTTGGCCAAAGAAACTATATGTCGATAGAAGGCTGAACCTGGTCTCACGAATAAACATGTAGAAACGACGACTAGAACTGATCAAACCATAGTGTCTTGCGAGTTATCGTTATCAATTGATTTTACCAAAGATGCAATTCGCATGTGGCAGGAAAAGGGCTAGTAGATATTAATTCAAAATAGATCATTTGACGTAGCTACCTGAAGATACGGTACACAATTGAAAGGATCTGAAACATGAAGAAGGCATGAAAACTTTAGAAAATTTCATATTCTGGTATAGAATAGTCTCAGAAATACTAAAATGCTCCATCTAAAAATTGGAACCCGGAGCCGTTTCCGGTGAAACCGGAAGTGCCCGGCAACCCTTTCCTTTTCTCATAACATTCACCTATACCTAATCTCATTTTGATACACCTTATATTCGAGATAATCAAGATCTCTTGACCCGTCTAATAGATTCGTCGACACCTAGTATACGTGCTATGTTTTAGCATTTTTGCTCATAGATCTTTTTGAATTGTTCAATTGTCAAGTGTACTTTCTTGAGTTCAGCAAATTCTATGATGGGGTAGAGTAAGAGTGTGTGGATGTGATTGGGAGGAAATATAGGAAGTTGACAGACTGCAATCGACGTAATGAGGGCACCCTCACACTCACTGACCAATGGGATGCTCCTTTTCAGAAGTTCCGGCCCTTTGGGTCAGGTATAGGTACCCGAACAAAGAAGCCGGCCGGAGAGAGACGTTCAGTCTGCGGTCCGACACGCGATTGAGAAGTTTTTCGAGAATGTAAACAGTTTTCATAGAGACCGGCCGGTGTATCACCCTCCCGTAGTCGAACAGTTTATTGTAGCGGCAGCGGTAGTGGGTATACCGGCTGCATAACAATGACGTTTCGTCTGCTCCTGCTACGCCGCTGGCCGATGCAAACCTAGTAAACAACAAAAATGTAGGCAAAAAATAACGTACGACCTCACCAATCCGGCGCAGCCTAGCTAGGCGGGCGCCAATGCGATGCAAACTCCGAACTGAACCACGCAGTTGGCAACCGCTAGTTGGCTAGTAGCAGCCGAGCCGCGACCGTGATAGCATATTGTTTGTGATCCAAAGCACGCCGCGATATCCGTCGGCCGAGTTCTAGAGTCTGGCGAAAACTCTGACAGTTTTTCTCCCGCAGGATGTGATCGTGTTGCCCGACAGTGGCCGCGTAGTTATTAACAATGTTGCCCATGCACGGCAAACCTGGCGCGAAGATTTTGGACACTATGGCTAACCCCTGGTACCCCGCCTGCAATCGGTCTTCCTATAATTTCGTCATGGATACACCGCCTAGGTTAGTGGATCTACAGTACGAGATGAGATAATTCCGAGCCGGTATTCGTTTATCGCAGCGTTGACTGCTGACCTTCACTGCACTGCTACCATCTCCACTTGATAATGGCGAAGTACATAATTTTAGAGCGTGATATTATGATTGGTTTGCCTGTTTGTTTGTCTGATTTTTTATCACTTCTCTCTCTTTCTTTATCTACCTATCTCTTTCTCTCATTCAAATCAAATTCGAAGCTTGTTGTTTAGTATACAAGCGTTAGTTGTACTTCTGGGGTGTACCAAACTTCTTCTGATGCATCGTTGCTAGGAGTAAATCGAATGATTATGCAGTCGTGTGGTGAATAAATTATGCAAAATATACACGACTTCGTGAATGCTACTTTTGCGATTACTCGAATAGATAGGTATAGTGTATACGATTGTGCATTCTAATGGCTATTATTATGCACAAGCTAAGATATCCCCAGTCTCCGCGGTTTTTTCAAGTATCATAACGCTCGATATAGATATTCTGCAGTGCCAAAGGGACACAAAAGAAGTACACACTCTGTTATGGGAAGAAAGGCAAACTGCATCTAGCTCTCTATAAGAAGCCGAACTGCTTGTAGAGAAGCTTTTAGCCCTTATATATACAGTTCTGAAAAGAATATATGTATATGATATACACCTATGCATTTTAGTTGATATTGCTGACCCCATTATCGATAATGAAATAATGATGACTGAGCTGCATACTGAATTTGTAAGATAGCAGGGAAATGAACTCATTGAACTTGATGATTTTGCTTTGGCGACTATAGAAAAGTTGAGAGAAGAAGAAGTGTGGTCGTTTGTAGGATATTAGAATAGCATTGCTCCTTGTGGGATTGTGCACATTGGATTGGCACTGGCTGTTCTGATCAGGAGTATGAATAAACCTCACTGGAAGTGCATCAATAAAATTAGCCCAGGATACCATGTAATTTTGCTGTTCACATCAGACTACCAATACAGAAGCTGAATTGACCCACACGTGACCAGCGTTGCTCGTTTTTCAGCGATACAATTTTGGACGTTCAAAACGTTAGTTATGCTGGAAGCCAGAATGATGGATGCAGTGTGCGCAACTCTCGCAAGCCGCTCGTTTATTGTTTCAATCATGGAATACTCATACGAACACAACTCATGATGCTATTTTTCCTAGACTTTTTCGGCGATTGACATACTCCAGCTTGCTGCTTTAATTTCGCTCATGACATTGTTCCAAAACTTCTCGCCTACGGCTCAAATGTTTTGGTAAACAATGTCATTCGGCCAAATTATTAGGTAACAGCGAGGGTAACAGGCTGTCGCAACAATCGCCGAATATTTCCGGCAAAATAGTATCACTTGTGCTATTACATATGAGAAACCGTTGGTGTAAAACGTCTATTATTAGGTACACATAGATGCAGTATGTATGAACATGGTGCAATGTCTAATGAAATTAGCGATTAGATCATACACTGGCTTCATTAGTTGGCAGATATTTGCGAATTCAGTGGCTTCAGAAATATCCTCGAAAACATGAGTTCGAAAGAAAATGACAACCAACATCTTGTTGATCCTCTAACTCCTTGCACCTTATACCTAGAAGCTAGAGTTCCTAAATGTACTGGACACTGCTGATTTTGACGTTTTTTTGTATATAGGTCGCGTGCACGAAGACCGACCCTGGAGGCAAAATATTGAAACACAACCTCATTCTTCTGTGAATTATTGAAACACAACCTCACTTTTTTATTTGGTTACAGAGGAATCAAAAGGTTGAAATAGTTTTTCACAAAATTTTGGCATACGAATCGTGTTTCTTGCGTTATTCATTAATTCAAGCATGCCTTCGCATTGTGCTGTTGTACAATGCACAAAAAATGCAGCAAGAGACTAGGGAATATGATTTTTCAGGTAAATAGTAATCTCACATAGTTAGCATTATGAAATGTTGTCATTCCTTATTAAAATTCCTTCTGCCTTCTGCCACTTCTGCAATACAAGCTAATGCTGCTAATAGATTGAAAATGTCTACAACACACACGATCGTCAGCATGTCAGACCAGTCCTACCGATTGATTGCATGAATCCAATCTTCTTGCATTATTCTAGACATTTCAGGTATATTTCTATTAGCTGATCCTATTGCAGAAGGAATTCCGATGAGAAATCAGAGAAATAACCAAATTTCAAAAATGAAAACTATGTGAGTGACTATAGTAGGTACTTACTTTTGAATCATAATGTACCATCCGGATTTCTTCATCTTCCGCTGCAGTTTTTGTGCATTTTACAACAGCACAATGTGATGGCATTAGCGAATTGATGAATAGCGGAAAAATACGATTCATATGCCAAAATAATTGTGGAAAACTATTTCGATCACTTGTAAACAAATATGTTTTGCCTCCAGGGTCGGTCATCTGACAGTTCTTGCACGCGACCTATTAGAGTACGGACACTATGACAAGCACTGACAGTTAGACATAACCACGAATAAATTGATGGAAAAAGCGGGAACTGACAGTACAAGGACGCACATGACATAAATTTCAAAGGTTTGTCAAATTGAGAGAATTGGGAGAAAGATGCAAGCGAGTGCAAGTTTGTTCAGTTTCCAACTGTGAGAACACGAAAAATCAATTCACTCTATTCGAATTTCCATCGGATAACGTAATTCTACAAAAATGGAAACAGAATATGATGAGGCCGGCATGGAATATAGGTACAGGCTCGGGTACAGGCCACAAAATTTGCGAACATTTTTCAACGCATTTTTATCAGGTACACTTCATAACGGAAGATTTGATGTTGAAGAATAGGATCGTATTGAGAGACAGAGCCGAACCCACAATTTATAAACTGAGCGAGTATCGAGAAGAACCTTATTCCAATTTAGACTCTGGTTATTGCTTGTGATGGAATGATGGAGCAGAGATCACAATAGCCACCATGGAGATCATGGTCGATAATCTGATGATGAAATGGCAACAACTTCCTGAATTGACTGACTCAAATAGATTTCACATCCCTGTTAAGACTTGAATATATTGTTCGTGTATCTTTAAAGTTGAAATCCCAAGTCTGAATGTGCATGTTCATGCGTAAGTAGTTGAAAAGTGCCAGACGACTACATAGGTCCTAGTGGATTTTGAACTACTTCTTGGGTACCAAGATACGAGCAAGATATTATCAGAGCATAAAACAATAACGCTCAACAAGTGCACCATTTATGTTAGGTATTAAAAATGATCTTCCGATGGCCCGGTTCAACCAACAATCTCCTTCAGCAATGTGAACGGCGATCTATAGTGAGTCGAGCGCTGAAGTCCATTTATACCTACTTCCATATGTTTTGGAAAACCTTTATTATTTCCTAACTGAAATCAGTTGTTTCTTCAGATTTATCAGTTTCTACCCCATTCTCAACTTTTGTGATGAACAAATATTCAACTGAACGTAGGGTGTTTCGAAATTCGACCGACAACGCTTGACAGGTGATAGCCCTCGTGATTTCATAATCACTGAGATAGGGACAGACGGTCTTGAAGTGTTCAGTTCTCGAGATACAGGGCGTTGAAGTTAAGAAATTTAAATAGTTTTTTCGCAATATCTCAAGAATAATTTAATATAATGCATTCAAATTCGGTATATGGTTTCATCTTTCACTGATTAATTTCTTGACCAGAAAGACATTCCGAGAATTTTATCCAGAGATGCGCTACAGAGGGTTGTGATAACTTTTCCTCCCATATTTTCTACGCCACTGATGAAATTTCAATTATTTCCAATTTCTCGAATTGTTTGTTCAGTTATGTTGAAAAAATGCATCACCTTCAACTGAGCTAAAATGAACAGTTATCGGGATATTTGACCCAAAATAGAAGTATGCATAGTAATTTTTCATCTTCCTCGGTAGTAAAAAATTACGAAAATTTTTGTTTTCTCTTCATGTGTGGAATAACTATTTCTGTTCAGCTATGGAATGAGATCTGAATAGTATCTAATCTACTCAACACCAGAAAAATATTTTTGCAATTTTCTACTACTGAAAATGATGAAATATTACTATGCAATCTTCTATTTTGGGTCGAATATCTCGAAAACTGTTTATTTCAGCTCAGTTGAAGGTGATGCATTTTCTGAACAAAATTGAACAATGAATTCGAGGAATTGGAAATAATCGAAATTCAATCAGTGGCGTAGAAAATATGGAAGGAAAAAATGCCACAACCCCCTGTAGGGCACCACTGGACAAAATGTCCGGAATGGCTTCCAAGTCAAAAAATGGCCCATTCAAAGATGAAACCATATACCGAAGTTGAATGCATTATATTCAATTATTCTTGAGATATTGCGAAACAACTATTTTCATTTCTCAACTTCAACGCCCTGTATCTCGAGAACTGAACACTTGAAGACCGAATGTTCCTATCTCAATGATTATGAAATCACGAGGGCTATCACCTGTCAAACGTTGTCGGTCGAATTTCGAAACACCCTGTATACCTACATATAAGAGACTTATTTCATAGGAATACTATATGTATTTCATTGATAATATATGTACCTACTAACTTGATATCGACCTTCATTGAGGTCCTTCAGCCTTATCATTCAATATTTCGAGAAGAAATAATTGTCTGATCAATTTATCGTACCATTTTACCCACCACTCGAGGAGACGCTATGCACTCTCATTCAAAAATCAAAGACAGAGGAAGATATATGGATGTACTCTTCCCAGGACTTGTGGAGAAAGGAAGATGCGAGGATCCTTTATCTAAGCGAAAAACATATTCTTGTCCTTGTCTGGCAAAAATATGATTTGATATGATCCGTATTCTAATATTCAAAAAACGTCAAAACAGCAGTGTCAAGTACATTTAGGAACTCTACTAGAAGACCTAGCTTCTTGGATGATCCTCAACACTTCCCAAAGCTACCTCGATGACATTGATGACATCACTAACCTTTTCTATTAAGTAGCGT